GAGGGAGAGGGAGGAGGAAGTTGGAGGAGGCGAAGAGGAGGACGAGGGGGAAGAGGAGGAATGAAGGAGGGGGGATAATCAACTGCCATGGCGAGCTAGCGATGCCTGCCTGGCGGCGGCGGAGCTTTCCTCTTGCTCCCCCGTCTCCTCTTGCCCATCCTTTTCTTTCTTCCTCTTCTTCTTCTTCTTCTTCTTCGTTTTCGTCGTATTTTCCTCCTCCTTCATCTCCCCCTTCCTGCGGCAATTGTGCAGCGAGCGTAAGGATCTATTGTAGCGCTGGCAAAGCATGCTGCAATAATTGTCATGCTTGTCGACAGTGTGTTGGACATGTATCTAAGTGCCTACATGATGGGAGGAACGGGTTTCTTGAAGACCACGCGTAGAAGGTCATAGGGCCGTGATTATTTTCTGAGTGTGGCGTTTCTCCCGCCATCCTATATTGCGCCGCGCTCGCGCGGCAATGCTAGCAACTTCCCCACCGCTGTTTCCACTGCTCGGCGCACCAGTGTCACCGCTGCGTCACTGTGGGGACCGCGCCCAGGCGCGTATGCGAGCGTCCGACTGTCTGTTTCTCCGCCCTCCTCCTCCTCCTCCTCCTCCTCCTCCTCCTCCTCCTCCTCCTCCCCCTTCTCCCGCTATCTCCTCCTCCTCCTCCTCCTCCTCCTCCTCTCCTCCTCTACCTCCTACCTCCTTCCTCCTTCTTCTCTTCCTCCTCCTCCTCCTCTCCTCCTCCTCCCCTCTCCTCCTCCTTCCTTCTCCTCCTCCTACTCCTTCTTTCTCTCCTTCTCATCCTCCTCCTCCTCCTCCTCCCTTATTCCTCCTCCCCCTCTTCTCCTCCTCCTCCTCCTCGTCCTCCGTCTCCCAACCCTCCTCCTTCCCTCCTCCTCCTCCTCCCTCCCTCTTCCTCCTCCTCCTCCTCTTCTTTCCTCTTCTCCTCCTCCTCCTCCTCCTCCTCCTCCTCCACCTACCCCCCCTCCTCCTTCTCCTCCTCCTCCTCCTCCTCCTCCTTCTCCCCCTCCCCCTCCGTCTCTTCTCTCCTCCTTCCCCCTCCTCGTTCTCCTCTTCGTCCTTGTCCTCCCTCTTCCTGACGTAGCACAGGCTGAAATACGGATAGGCTGAAGCGTCCTCTTCCTCCTCCCTCATTTCTTCTCCCTCCCCCTCCTCCTCATCCGCCTCCCCCTCCTCCCTCCTCCCTTCTCATCCTCCTCCTCCTCGTCTTTCTCCTCTATCCTCCTCCCCCTCCCCCTCCTCCTCCTCCTCCTCCTCCTCCTCGTCCCTCCTCCTCCTCCTCCTCCTCCTCCTCCTCCTCTTCGTCCTTGTTCTCCCTCTTCCCGACATGGCACGGGCTGAATTACGGATCGTGAAGCTCTCTCCTCCTCCTCCTCCTCCTCCTCCTCTTCCTCCTTCTCCTCCTCCTCCCTCCTCCTCCTCCGCCTCCTCTTCGCCCTCTATCTCCTACCTCCTCCTCCTCCTCCTCCTCCTCCCTCCTCCCCTCCTCCTCCTCTCCTCCTCCTCCTCCTCCTCCTCCTCCTCCTCCTCCGCCTCCTCTTCTCCCTCTATCTCCTACCTCCTCCCGCTCCTCCCGCTCCTCCTCCTCCTCCTCCTCCTCCTCCTCCTCCTCCTCCTCCTCCTCCTCTTCCTCAGACATTAGACGATGTGTTCTTCTCCATCCACGGCCCCAGCGGTCCCGACCGCTTCGCCGGGCGTAGCCTTGCGTCCCGGACCCGATGCTGATGGTCCCAGGGCCCGATCCTGGCCACCGAGGGCCATGCAGCGGGAGGCGCCCGCTGGCTGAGAAAGCCATATCGTTGGAGATCTGGCGATATCGCCGGAGATCTGGCGATATCGCCGGGCCTCCTCCCCCCCCACGTCCGGCCCGGGCAGCCCAGGGACGCCCCCTCTGGGGATGGCAGCCCCCCCGGCGGCCCGGCCGCACGCCCGGCCTTAGGGACGCCCCCTCTGGGGTCGAGAGGCCCCTCCTCCTCCTCCTCCTCCTCCTCCTCCTCCTCCTCCTTCTGTTATCCTCCTCCTGCTCCTCCTCCTCCTCCTCCTCCTCCTCCTCCTCCTCCTCCTCCTGCTCCCCCCTCCTCCTCTCTCCTCCTCCTCTCCTCCTCCTCGTCCTCCTCCTCCTCCTGGCGGCCCAGGTGCAGTGCGACCTCGGCCCGAGCCCGCTGCCGCCGCGCCGGAGGTCGCCGCCCTTCAGGCCGCGGCCGCGGCGGGCGCGGCCGTCCCGGGCGGCGTGCTTCGTCCGCCTCCGGGTCTGCCGGGTGGCGTGTCGGGAGGGAGGGGGGAGGGGGTTGGGAGGGGGGAAGGGTGAGAGGGAGGGGGAGGAGACAGACGACTGGAGGGGGAGGAGGGAGGCGAAGGAGGAGGGGAGGAGAGGGAGGAGGAGGGAGGAGGGGGGGGAGGCAGGAGGGGGAGGGAGGAGAAAGTCGAGAGGGGCCTCCCAGACAACCATGGACACGGGTGATGCGTTCTGGAGGAGGAAGGAAGGAGGAGAAGAGAGGAGGAGGAGGAGGAGGAGGAGAGGAGGAGGAGGGAGGATCGATGCTCGAGGGCATGGGCCTTGAGCGTTTTGGAACCTTCTTGGGCCTCTGGGAGGCTTCTCGGCGCCACGTTTGGCTTCGCCTCGAGATTGGCACGGGCGTGAGCCAGGAGTTCTCGGAGATGCCCCCGCCCCCCGCCCTCTCCTCCCCTCCTCCTCCTCCTCCTCCTCCTCCTCCTCCTCTCCTTCCTCCTCTTTCTCCTCCTCCTCCTCCTTCTCCTCCTCCTCCTCCTCCTCTCCTCCTCCTCCTCCTCCCCCCCCCCTCCCCCTCCCCCTCCCCCTCCCCCTCCCCCCTCCCCTCCCCCCAGGGGCCTTAGGCCCTCCCTTTTCGGGGGAGGAGCGCTGCAGAAGTCTCATGCTGTCTATGTTCATGTCGTTGTATCTTGTGCTCTCCCCTTCCTCTTAGCTGGGCCTGTCGACAGCCTGCCCTGTCGTTCTCCCGTGTAAGAAGAGCTGGTATGCTAGCCGAGTGCGGCTTTACGCTGTTTGAAGCAGGGTGTATTGCAGCATCGCTGTCGCATCCTGGCTTTACTCTCCTCCTCCTTCACCTCCTCCTCCTCCTCCTTCTTCCCCCCATCTCTTCGCATTGTTGGCCCCCCCCCCTATCATCCTCGTGGTCCTCCACTTCCTTCCTGCCCTCGCTATCCTCCTCCTCCTTGCTCCCCCCCTCCTTGCTCCTCCGTGCTCCTCCTCCTCCGCCTCTTTCTTCTCCTCCTCCTCCTCCTCCTCCTAGCTTCACGGAGCATTGCCAGACGCTGGGCACCAAGGACACTACAGCGTTCTACGAGCAGAAGGGTCTTCCCTTGGGGCACCTTCCGCTCTGGGAGACACTGGGCAACCTGCACTGGGGATCACTCCTTCAGAGAGGGCACGGTTCAGACACACTTCTATTCTTATACTTTGTTTCGGCATCAGGTGCCAACGCGGATTGCGGCAACGGATACGGTTGCTTTTCTGGCAGCATAAGTTTGCTGACCAAGACGAGGCGCCGAGCATTACGGAAACCGCGTGGCACTACGAGGAGGTGGCAGGAAGCGCGGCGCTGAGCAACACAGTCACCACAGCGAGCGAGGAGCAGCAGAGTCACGCCGACCGGGAACACTATGCAGACCAGGAGGCGACGCTTGGCACGCAGGGGCACGAAGGCACGCCTACGGGACGACTCGTGTACGACTGCGTGCAAACACGCTTACTCAGAGGCTTTGCTCGATCTCGTGTACGACTGCTTGGAATCACGCCCGCGAGAGGGTGGCGTAATCACGAGTTTCTGGCTACACGGAATTTTCCGACGCGTGGCTTGAGCAGGCACTCGGCCCCCCGGACGAGCAGCCTGCGCATCTATGAACAAACGCGCTTCGATACATCGTTCGGATGAGACCTGTTGGAGTCTCTGTCGTCGAGCTGCCTTATCAGAGATTTGAAAGGGAGTCCTCCAGACCCTTCGCGGTGGGAGGTTAGGCAGCTCGATCAGTCAATGTCCCTCGCGGATCACCCCGTCCATCGGTGTCCGCTTGGGTGAACTTGGAGCCGCGATGGCTCAGGAGGAGCCGCCCTATGCCTAGCGACCCGTCCGGTGGGCTAGTTCCTCCATCGGCTCATCGTGCCGCGAGGTCGAGGTTGGGTCGGTTCGCGACTCCTCGGCTTCATTTTCGTGCAGAGTATTCCAGCAATGCTTCCGTCTGGCCTGGGAGACTTGGGCACCTCAGGTGGCAGTCAGTCAGTCAGTCAGTAGGTCTGTTAGTCAGTCCTCGTCCTCCTCGATCCTCCTCCTCCTCCTCCTCCTCCTTCTCTCCTCCCTCCTCCTCCCTCTCTTCTCACTCACTCACTCACTCACTCACCCCATGGCGCGCGCCGCGGTGTCCAGCACCGCCACAGGCCGCGCCGCCGCGCCGCGCGGCGCCGCGACCGCCTGCGCAACAGGTGGGCCACCAGGGACCCCGCGAGAGGAGGGAAGAGGCTCCAAGGCCCCGAGGAAAGGAAAAGCGGGGAACCCAGGCCCAAGACACCCCTGGGCACGCCCAAGAGGGGCCGAGGCAGGGGCCCGACGCAAAAGGGGGAGGGAGACGCCAGCGAGGGCGCGAAGAAGAGAGGCGGGGAGCCCGCGAGCCCACGAGGAGGGGGGGGGGAGGGGCCTCGAGGGCCAGGAAGGGGGGAGGAGGCCCGTGGCCTTGTACTGTGCTCCCGGTCGCGGCCGCGCCGCACCGCCACCCATATAGCCAGCTGCAGCCCGCTGCCAGCAAGCAGCCGATGGAGTGGGTTGGGTGGTGGTGAGACGCGGCGGCGACGCACCGTCACCCGCTGTGGGACGAGCGGTCGCCGAGCCTCAGGCCCCCGGTCAGGAAGGGGGTCTCGAGGGGGCTCCAGGGGCCGGAGGAGGGAGAGGGGGGGCTGGGATCGGGCGCGAGCATGGGGCAGCAGCCCTGGTGGGGCCTCGCGGCGCGGCCAGCTCGGCCACCCCCGCGCGGCTGCCGCGCCTGGTGCCGCGCGAGGTGCGCCGAGGTGTCCAGCGCCCGAGCCCGTGCGGGCGCCCGGGCGGAGGCTGCGCGCGCCCGCCGCACCACGCAGCAGGGGCTCGCGCAGCTCCCGCTCCGTGGTCGTCGGGTGCTGCAGGTCTATGCCGCTGGCGCAGACCATCCTCCTGCTCTCCGTCCGCGATGCCCGCAGCGCTGGGAACTCGTCCAGCGTGCTCGGGCGTGGGCGGTCTCCGCGCCGCGGCAAGACCAGAGCACGCGGGATCTTCATCTTGGCGTCCGTCTCCGTGACGTCGATGGCCAGCCGCAGCTCAGCGTTGTCCGCGGCGACTGCTTGCACCAGGTGCTTGGCTCCCCACGGTGCCGTCGACTCCCGCAGGGCGAACTCGACGTCTGGGTCTGCCGTCCACGTCGAGCTCCTCGGGATGATTCTGATGGCGCTGCACTGGTTCACGGTGTGATGCCATTGGGTTCTCGCCTGGAGCCCGTCGTGCAGGTCCAGCTCCTCGTCGTGGAAGGCGGTCTCCATCAATGCGTAATTGCCGTCCGCATTGTCCCGAAGGTTCTTCTTCAGCGCCTGGTCCTTTTCGGTGTCGCCATCAATCAACCAGATGATGCCCTCCCCGTCCGACGTGTCCCCGCTTTTTGGCCGCGGGGCACAGAGGTGTGCTGCCCTCGTGCGCCTGTCGCATGGTGACGGTCGGGTGCTGTACGCGCTGGAAAGCTTCGGCGGGTCGTTCGAGCAGAGGCGGTCGGTCCTCGTCGTCTTCGGTCTGCGCGCACCTCTTGGCGGGCTGTAGTGCCTTGTCTTCTCTCCATCCTCTGCTCTTCAGGTTCTTGATGGTCTTCGTGTCCTCGTCCATGAGCTTCTGAACGTCGGCACGGTCCATCGGGTCGCGTTTCGCAATGTATGCCTGGAGGCACCCAGTATTGCGATGGCGCAAGTGGCGGACGAGTCGCACCCGACTGTGGAACTCCATGTTGCAGCATTCGCATCGAGATTCGACGGCGTAGAATTGTGCGTCTTCTGTCGGGAGGTGCTTCTTGGTGCGGTGCCTCTTGAGGGACGCCTCCGTCGAGACGGCGGCGCCGCAGTTGTAGCAAACGTAATGCGTCACATCGCGATGCCGATCTTGCTGGTGGTCGGGAAGGGCACCTGCGTTTCCTTCGCAGAGTCCTTCCGCCCGCGATCGCTTCCACAGATGGTGCCTGCAGTCCTCGATCCACGACCTCTTGTGCGCCTCCCAAGCTCTCCCGATTAGCTTGGGCATCTTCTTGGTCCCCGGCTTGCAGTACTCGGTCCACGCCTTGACGTCGTCCTTGACGGTAGCTCCTTCTCGCGCGTGTGGTCCAGCAGCCAGCCGAAGGCACGCTTCAATTGTCCGTGTCAAATGTCGTCTGCTTGGAGGGCAAAGTCGAGCAGGTCGAGGAGCGTCTCGGGGGCATTGTGCACGATGTTGTTGAAGTATCGTAGCCTGCGTGCCGTGGTAGTGGCGTCGAGCCCCGCTCGCTCCGTAGCGGCCTAGACCTGGTCGGCAGCGTGCTGCGCGACCCGATTTCGGCAGTGTAGTGCCGCTGCTGCCCTGTATCCTTTGACGTGTGCTGCTTTCAGGTTCTTCTGGTCGGCCGCCGCCATGCCGCACCAGAGCTCGGCTTGGTATGTGAGCCTCGCGTTGCTCATCGCATCGGCGAACTTGGCTCCCGACTTGGCAGGGGGGATGTCGTCTTTGAAGACGGTCCGCAGCATGGGCTCCAAGGCGTTCTTGTGGGCGATGACCCGTCGTTGTACTTCAGGTCCCCATGAGCCCTCGGTGGTGATGGTGGTGCCCATGTGCTGGTAATCGCGTACGACGTCGATCTCTAGGCCCCATTCGTCGGTGGTCAGCTTGGTGGGCTTCTCGTAGAGGTGGGGCATCGTCTGCTTGGACTTGGGGCCGTTGACGCATGCCAGGGCCGCTGTCTTGTTCTCCCTTAGGTTGAGCTCCATCGCGCGGGTGCGGAAACTCTCGTGCACCATGTCCGCCATGTGCTTAGTGCGGGCCAGGGTGTCTGCCAGCCCGTTCGAGAGAACGGCGAAGGCAGTGTCGTCCGCATACGTAACGCCACCCGCCAGTCTCGATACTCCCAGCGGGTTATTTAGAGATTCGGCACCTCGGGGTACTGGCATGCACTCCTTGACCGAGATGGTGAGCTCTTCGTGCAGCATCCTCTGGTTTATTGTGGTGAGCGGTCGTGTGAAGGCCATGTTGAATACCATGTCGGCCTGCGGGGCCCCAGGGCGAGTTCCGCGTCGTGAGACCCCCGTGTCTTCCTGCTCCGCCATGTTAAACCATGTGAGTCGCTGTGCCTCAGCGGCGGCGGTCTGTAGGTGAGGCTCGGTAATGTGCTTCTGTAGCAGGCCAGGCTCTGCGAGGATGTCGCTCAGGATCGGGCGGAGGATGTCGGGGATGTCAGCTTCGTGGCATATGTCGTCGCCGTCATGCCCGTGCTAGGGGATCTGGATCAGCAGCTGTCGCGCGACGCGGTAGAAGGCGGCCTTCAGGCCGACGAAGAGTAGTGTAAAGGTTCGCTTGGCGCGTTTAGCAAAATGCTGCAGGCATTGTATCTGGTGGGTCGCTAGCGTGGTGCCTCTCCTCCGACCTGCGAGTCGAGGTAGATGATCGTCGCAAGGTCTTTGAGCTTGCTACGCAGGAACTTGTAGTGATGCTTGGCGATGGTGTTGCATAATGTGATTGATGTGTACGCTTCTTGTCGTGATGTGTCGCCCTTGCCCTTGCCGATATCGGCTAGGATGGCGTGCTTGAAGACCAGAGGCTCCTGTATCTGCAAGCTGATCTTGGTCAGCAGCGGGTGGATCTCTTTTTGCGTGACGATGTGGTGCGATGGCCAGCTTGGCGTAGTGTCTAACCTGGACTGCCGCTAGCTTCTGCTCGTCGTCGATCACGTTGTTGTTCTCATCAAGGCGATACGGTATTAAGTTGCCGCCCTTGAATCTACCTTGCTGGTCGCCCCCGGACTTCAGGATCTTCTTTAGCCATCTCCATTCGTTCTGTCTGTCTCTGTTCTGCAGGGATTCGCTGAGCTGGGACGCGTACCGATCGTAGTGCCGTCTCTTGTCGTCGTCCAAGGATGCGCGGGGGCACTTCGTTGTCGCCATCAAGTGCCTGTTTACCTCCGCCGCCGCTTCTGAGACGTCGATGGTGCCGTCGGCCAGCGTACTCATGGCCAGGGCCAGCCGCAGCGTCTCTTGATGTCCTGGCGTGCCTTCGGGGTACAGCAGCCGTTCTTCGTACCGCAGGTGGGGCATCAGGTTCTTGAAGTTGCCGCCTGCTGTCTTCCATAAGTGCCATTCGCGCTTTGCATGACGCCGTACCCGAATGAGCCGCATCGATTGCAAGGACGCGTGGGATCGTGTAGGAATGAGCGGATCTTTGGCGAAAGCTTTCGACGACGCTTCTGCAATTCCCTCCGTGATCCTCTGATAGTGCAGGTTGACGTCGTCGTCCCACGTGGACTCATCTATCTTTAGGGCCTCGCTGTATCTGGTCCTCGCGTGCTCGTCCGAGTACTTCGCTCTACATAGTGATCTCCTCGCAGGCTTGGGAGTGGGGGCGGTCGAAGCGAACCTGGCCTCGGCGATGACAGGGCTGTGATCGTGGTCCTTGAGGCCGCTGTCGAAATCGTTCTCCACGTAGCAGTGCTGTACGCACTCTTAGTACGCGGGTCTCATCACGATGTAGTCGATGCGCTTGTCTTGGTACCCATCAGCCCTGTATGTGGGGCCGCCGTCGTAGTGCGAGTTGGCCGCCACCATGTCGAGCTCGCGTGCCGCCGAGGCCAGCTGTTTGCCATTGGCGTCGCTCTTGGATGCGGCGCCGAGTGGTCCGATGCACGGAGCCGCGGATGAGTTGGCGCCCAGCTGCGCGTTCGCATCTATGAAGATCGTGTCCACGTTGAATTTCTTCGCCTGTGCGTTGAAGTCGTGCCACCATTCCTGTCGCTCCGCGATGTTGACGTGATGGTGTGGCGCGTGCGCGACAGCGCACACCACTGTGAAGGCTGGGGCCGCAATCTTGATTAGGAGGAGCGTCGGCGCGCGGTGGAGTACCCTCGGGTGCTCCTCGGTGAGGTACAGGTCCTTGTCCCCTCTGGAGGCGCAGAGGAGCCCCGTGGCGACGAGTCGGGCACGGCCGTGTCCTCCCGCGTCTGCTGGCGCTCTGAGATGTATATATATATATATATATATATTTATAGCCGTCTGCGTAGTCCTTCGCGTCGGCTCCGCGCGCCTCCCGTGCGCCACTAATAGAAACCCTCCGGTCGATGAAATCGTTCCGGGTGGTGCGTATCGCGTGCTTCTTGAGGTCCTTTTCTTCTGTGCTGGGGGCCACGCCTTTCTTCGTCCTCCTGCATCTCGACTTCGCCAGGGTCATGGCGTTGTACGTCGCAATCTTCACGTATATCTGCGCGGGCGGACGTGGCTTGGATTCGTCTGGAGCGTGGCTGTACAGCGCGACGTGCCCCTCGTCGCTGACATTGAGCTGCTGCTGCTTCACGTCGTAATAGAAGCCCTGTTCGAAGCCCTGTTCGCCTAGGCAGGGCTACTTGCTGGCAGCGCTCTGGTCATACTTCAGGGAGCACCATTCGAGCTCGGGCAGGTAATGGATCACGGCGTTTATGGCAGTGTAGTGGTCCGCCCTGTGGTTCTGCTTGGCGATCGCATCCGCCATCTGGTTCCAGGGGTCGAAATCGTGGGACTTTGTATGTCGGACTTCTAGTGCGTGGAGGTGCCTGACCTCGTGCGCTAGTATCGCGACACAGCGGGAGAGCTTCTCGAATGGCTTGTACACGGCAGCTCTGTTGGCCGCTGCGATGGCGTCGGCTGAGTCGCTGGTGATGGTGTTGACGCCATTCTTGCCCGTCTCGTGTTTCAGCGTGTACGCCAACGCCCAGAACATCGCGACTAATTCGGACGCGGTGCTGTGCAGAGCGCCTGCCTCGGTGTATCTCGAGGCTGTCCTGGTGCGGCCCGCTGCGTAGCCCTTGGCAATGTACACCCTCTGACTCGCAGTGACGATCACAACAGCCCAGCCGTCGTTATCGCAGCTGGACTCGAAGCGTGAGCCATGGGTGTAGATGTGCATCTCCTGGTACCGAGGGCTGCCGTTCTCGCCGATGGGCGCGAGCACGAGGGCCATCTTCGCCAGGTCGCCTAGGTCGTACGAGTCGAAGTCCGACCTCAGCTGCAGAATGTAATCTTCCCTGTCGATGATGCTTCCAAGCATGTCGTTGACCTCGCACCTGCATGCCATCGGAACTGCGTGGTGGTGTTGGCTTGGCGGGTCGTGTAGGTCGGGTGAACGTGACGGCTTCTGTCGGAAGTGGGTGTCGGCTGTCGGTGGGTCGCGGTGGCGGTTGGTCGCTTGAGCTGGTGGTGGGAGGGGGCTTGCTGCGCTTAATTGGCCTCCATGCGCCGGCTTCGAGTGGAATTCATGGCGGTCCCACCTCGTCCCGCTATGGCTACGCGGTGCTGTGCAGAGCGCCTGCCTCGGTGTATCTCGAGGCTGTCCTGGTGCGGCCCGCTGCGTAGCCCTTGGCAATGTACACCCTCTGACTCGCAGTGACGATCACAACAGCCCAGCCGTCGTTATCGCAGCTGGACTCGAAGCGTGAGCCATGGGTGTAGATGTGCATCTCCTGGTACCGAGGGCTGCCGTTCTCGCCGATGGGCGCGAGCACGAGGGCCATCTTCGCCAGGTCGCCTAGGTCGTACGAGTCGAAGTCCGACCTCAGCTGCAGAATGTAATCTTCCCTGTCGATGATGCTTCCAAGCGTGTCGTTGACCTCGCACCTGCATGCCATCGGAACTGCGTGGTGGTGTTGGCTTGGCGGGTCGTGTAGGTCGGGTGAACGTGACGGCTTCTGTCGGAAGTGGGTGTCGGCTGTCGGTGGGTCGCGGTGGCGGTTGGTCGCTTGAGCTGGTGGTGGGAGGGGGCTTGCTGCGCTTAATTGGCCTCCATGCGCCGGCTTCGAGTGGAATTCATGGCGGTCCCACCTCGTCCCGCTATGGCTAGGGGTCACGGTGCCCTCGGTGGGGGCGAACCCCAAGCCTTGTGCTTGATGCTGTGCGTGGTGGGCCGGGTCGCCTCTGCCTTGCGCTCCGCCTCGTCGGCGTTCGGGTGAGCATCTCCTCCTCCGTGGGGATGGTGGGGGGTGGCGAGCTAGGGCGGACCGCGGGGGCGCGGGTAGTGGCCGTCCTTCCTCCCCCTGCCCCTCACCATCCCCCCTGGCAGGCGCGGGCAGTGCTCGTCCTGCCCCCCCGCCCTTCGAGCCCGTCTCGAAGTTTGAGCCTTGCCTCGCCAGATGTCGGCGTTGTTGGTTGGGGGCGTCGTCTCGGTGTCGGGGGTCGTGCGCACGTCAGGCCAGCTTTTCGTGGCGACTTGTGCCTGAGGTGTTCCCACGCGTTCGGGGCATCCTCAGGACTTTGCGTCCTGGCGCCTCCAGCTCCACGTGGCGACCGGTGCCTCAGGTGTTCCCACGCATGCGGGGCTTCCTCGGGACTTGGCGTCCGAACGCCGTGGGAGGTCGGTAGGAGCAGCCGTTCGGCCTCGGGGCTCGGGCCTTGCCTCGCCAGGGGCTCCGTCTCGCGGCCGTGATGCCGGTGGTCGGCGTCGGGGGGCTGGGGGAGCTGTTGTGTGGGAAGCTGGTCGGGGCCGTGGCGTCCTTGAGACGGGGTAGGGCGCGTGTATCGAGCGAGGGGGGGTCGGAGGTGTGGGCGGAGGTTCTTCTCGCCGTGGGCAAGCTCGTCGCCTTGCCTTCTCTGGTCGTCCCACGTGCAGTCGTCGCACTCTTGGCTTAGGCAGAAGGTGACCTGGCGCGTCTCGTCCTCGAGCAGGAACCTCAACCTCCTTGTCTTCCGCCCGCGTATACCTTCCTGCTCCTCTTCAGCCGCCAGGTATTTTCCTTCTTCTCCTCCAGGCGTGTTCTCCTCCTTCGTCTCTTCTTCCCTTTCAATGTGCTCGAAGGCAGGGGCATTCATCATGGAGGGCGCCTGGGTCGCTGTGGTGCTAATGATGTCGTTGGCGGGGTCGTCGTTGTCATGTCGGTGTTCCTCTCCACTGGGGCTGTGATCTTCTCCCTCGGTGAGTGGGCTCAAGCTCGCGGTCGCACGCGAGGAGAGCCTGTGCTCGCGAAGACCTCCTCCAGCGCCCCATCCGCGGATTGCCCTGCGGAGAGGGGGCGGGGCCCTTCGAGGTCAGGGCTGTACTCGGCGACGTCCAGGGACATGCCGATGACCACGAAGCTTGGGGCCTCGAAAAGGGGGCGCACGCTCCTGTCGGGGTGCCCGAGGGATGGTGAGGTAGTGCGTCCCGCAGGCTCCAACCTGACCTGTCTGCCTTTGGCTGGCCCCGCGCGGGCCCCGTGGCGTCGCTGTACTGCTCCTCCTCGCGATGGGGGGAGGTCGTCGATGACGTTGTCGGTGATGCTGCCCGTGGAGACCCCCACAGGATGCCCTCGGCGTGGTAGTGCGTCCCGCAGGCTCCTACCAGGCCGTCGGCGTGGGCGGGCACACGGCGGTCCGGCCGCCGTTGCTGCTCCGGCGCCGTGGGCTGCGGTCGCCGAGTGGCGGCTCCCTCTGCCTGCCAACGGCTCCGAGCGTAGCTCCCCGACGTTGTCGTCGGGCCTTCGCTCGGCTGGCTGGCCCCGGCTGCACTTGTGGGCAGGGGTCGTAGGTCGTATTGCACTTCCAGAATGGGGCTGGGTTCTGAGGCGCTGCTCTATAGGTCGCAGTCGTGCGTGCGGGGGCCGTCTGGACTCAGCGCCTTGGTGCGCATTTGCTGCCGGGTGTGTTTTTCTTTATCTAGGGCCCCAGTCCGCCAGACCCAGAGCCTGCTGCCTGCCCTTGGTCGTCATGTCGAGGAGGGGGCAGGTCTCTGCCCTCCTCGCTTCTTGCGCCTAGGGCCGCGCCTCGTCTTGCTGCTCGGCGGCGCTACTGCCGCCGCCGCCTTCTTCCAGTCGTCTTGCTCGTCGGTCTCCTCCGTCCGCGAAGCCGATCCCGTCATCGACGATGCGGACCCTGCTCCTAGCGCCCTGGCTTCTGGCGGAGGGTGCAGATCCTGATGGTGCTCTGCTGCCTCTGCTGCTGCTGCCTATCTTCTTGAGGATCCCGAATCCTCCTCTCCTCGGCCCCTCCGCTGGGAGCCTCGTCGCACTTGGCGGGAGGTGTTCCTCTGGGTCGAACTTCTCGGTGCCGGATACTACGATAAAGTCCTGATCCCCCTCCTGGCCCTTGCGGACTTCGTGGCCGTCTTCGTCGGCCGGCAGCGTGGGCGAGCAGTGCTCTGGGACCTCGTTCCTCCTCCTCCGGCGGCTGCAGGACGACTCCATATCGAGCTGGCTGAGCATGGTCATGTCCTCCTTGTCCTCGCTGTACTTCCTCCCCCTTCTCCTCAGGCTTGTAATCCGTCGCGGTATTCCCGATCTGCTCGGCGATGGCCGCTTCCTCGTCCTCACACTCCTAGAGGTATTGCCCCTATCCTTCCTGTGTCGTTTTCCTCCACCATCTTCTTCTCTTCCAGCCCTTATCTGTTCCTGCCTGTCCAGCTCGATCTGGACCTCGTCGTCGCCGAGTGTGTCGAGGGCCTCCGTGCCCGACAGGAGAGGGTTGGGTGGGTCGAAGGACGGTGGCGACGGTTCGTGACTCGCCCACTGGAGGGTCTCCCTCTCGCGCTCTCGGAGCCGGTGGTCCACGAGGGCCGGCGCCGCGCTCTTCTCGATGGCCAGCAGTGTGCTGCTCGGTCTCCTCCGCCGCGGCGGCTGCCCGCCCGCTCTCCTGCTCCCGCGGGTCTTGCGCCGGGGGGGGCACGTGCGCGCGGCGGGCACCGGGGGGGGTCACCTTCTTCTCGGCCATCTTCGGGGGCCCCGAAACGGGGTGGTGACCACACCGTGCGGTGAGTCGGTGGGGATTCGGGGTCACCGCACGGTTTTGGGACTCAGGTCGTTCTCCGAGGACGTCTCGGGCGACAGGGGCCTCCGGGGTCCCAAGACCGTGCGGTGACGGACCGTGCGGTGAGGTCTTGGGGGATTTCGAGGTCACCGCACGGTCTGTCACCGCACCGTTTCGGGACTCCAAATATCTGTACGAGCGGGACTGCTGGCGACGGGTCTCCTGATGATGATGTCGTTGGCCACGGGGCTTGCATCTGGGCATCGTCTGTGTTGATCGCGGTCTCCAGCTCTTTCAGCAGTTCGGCCACCAGGGCGGTGTGGCGTGAGGTGCCTAAATCGCGGGCCTTACTTTCGGCGCCCTCGACCCTCATCTCAATCTTTCGCCACTCTTCTTGCCTTTGGTATTCTTTCTGCTCCAGTATGTACTTCATCTCATTCTCACGCTGCTGCTGGAAGAGGTCCACGCGTTGCTGGTCCTCGCAGCGCCGCTGCTTTAAGGCAAGCTCGAAGTGTTGCTGGACTGGTAACTGCTAAGCGGCTCCTTGCTCCTTCAGGTTGTGGACGATTGCCTCGTGGTTTTCTTCTGCCTGCTTCCTCTGCTGCGCTTGCATGTCCTCCAGCTTTTTGGCTGCGTCTCTGGCATGCATGACTTCCTGTAGCAGGACTTCTTGCTTGGCCTGCTGCGTCATCTCCAACTGTCGCGCCTCGGCTTCTCTAGCTTGTGCCTGCGTGCGCAGGCAGTTGGCGACGCGGCCCTGTTCGTCACGTACTTCTTGGTTCCTCTTCATGGCCTGTTCTCTCATTTCTTCTTTGCGTGCTCTGAACTGGGCCTGTTTTTCCTGGAAGCGCCTCCTCTGGATGTCGTGCTTCCGCTGGAACTCCGCTCCTACCTCCTCCTCTTCCTTTCCCTCCTGCAGCTTCCTGCTCTTGGCCTCGGTCTCCGCAGCCTTCTCCTCCTTCCTTCGAGCTTCCGCTGCGAGCCGTGCCGCCCGTAGTTCTTCTCCGTGCACGCCGGTCGTTGAAAGTAGGTATTTTTGGATTCCCAGATCCCAAGCTACTGCAAGCGCCTTCCTACTTCAAGATTCGACATGCTTTTGCTGTGTTTTGTTATTCTCAGGGAGGACCTGGACCCAATCTACTATATCTGCCTTCCTACTTCATGTTTTTACCTACTTCTTCCGACCGACGTCTACTTATTCTCGGTGCCACGGTGCTCGGCTGCAGTCGCTCGGTCGGTCTGGCAGATCTTGTCCAGCACCGCCGTCTGGAAGTCGGCGTTGGACTTGGCTTGGTCCTGCAACGCCTTGGCGAGGTCCCTCGTGATGTGGTGGATCCCGTCGTCCGC